CCTTACTGGCTAACCCCGTTGGCAGGTGGTGTAATGATACGGGCGACCCCCCCCCCCCCCGGGGTCACATCATAACCTGGTGGCTGGTGGCGCTGTGAACCCCATCCTTGAGTCTACGAATCTCTAAAACATGTGGCAGTAGGTGCTAATAAAACAGTATATCTATTTCTACCAGATCTCAAATCCGTGGTTCGGGGGGTGGTGTGCTGTAGTGATGGAGGGATGACATCAAGACAGTAATAGTGCTGTTGGGTTTGTGTGCTGTAGTGATGACATCAAGACAGTAAAAGTGCTGTTGGGTTTGTGTGCTATAGTGATGGAGCGATGGCATCAAGACAGTAATAGTGCTGTTGGGTTTGTGTGCTGTAGTGATGGAGGGATGACATCAAGACAGTAATAGTGCTGTTGGGGAGCATGTTACTCCCCATTTCAGTGTTAGGAGATGATAAATATTTTTGCGCAAAATAGCATGATGAGTTAAGGATGTTGTGCCGAAAATGTCATGATTGAGGATGTTGTGGCAAAAATTTCATGAACTAAGGATGTTTTCCAAAAATGTCATGAACTAAGGATGTTGTTCAAAAATGTATGATTTAGGATGATGTGCCCAAAATGTCGTGCGTTGGGGATGATGTGCCAACAATGTACTCGTTAAATTATAATCTTGTGGAGTGTCCAAAATTTTGTTCACTTTTTAAGAATGTTGTGTTTTGGCCCAGATCTAGGCTATTATTAGGATACGACAAATGGCTTCCCCCCTCCCCCCTCCAAACTTGTGAATTGATAACTTGATGAGTACCTCATATGTCCTCTCTATATGGGGTTTGTTTGCAAAATAATATGTTATCTGGTTTTAGAATACAATAAATGCCAGGTTCATTCATCTCTGCTACAACCAAATTTCTGAGAAACACTAGCGAAAGAATTCAGTCTTAGTCCCTCATTGAATATGTTAGGTGGTTTGCGGTGATGAGTGGTTTCCTGTGATAAGTGGTTTCCTGTGTGTGTGTTGGTTTGCTGTGTTTTGTGGTTTGTTGAGTTTGTTTTTGTGTCGCAGTTTTTGTGTGGGGGTTTCTGTGTTGCCGGGTGAAGAGGTCTGTTTCTGTGTTGCCGGGTGAAGAGGCCTGGGTTTCTGTGTTGCCGGGTGAAGAGGTCTGAGTTTCTGTGTTGCCGGGTGAAGAGGTCTGGGTTTCTGTGTTGCCGGGTGAAGAGGTCTGGGTTTCTGTGTTGCCGGGTGCAGAGGTCTTGGTTTCTGTGTTGCCGGGTGAAGAGGTCTGGGTTTCTGTGTTGCCGGGTGAAGAGGTCTGGGTTTCTGTGTTGCCGGGTGAAGAGGTCTTGGTTTCTGTGTTGCCTGGTGAAGAGGTCTGGGTTTCTGTGTTGCCGGGTGAAGAGGTCTGGGTTTCTGTGTTGCCGGGTGAAGAGGTCTGGGTTTATTTGTTGATCCCAAATTACCTCAACTCGTTGGAATGCCAAGGTCACTATCATTCTACGCCTGCTTAAATACGTCACGGTTTCTAGATTTCTTGATTCCCTGCGTTAAACCATGGGATCTCTAACTTAATATGTGTTAACATTGATCACCTTGGCGTGTCGCTTTGACCAGATCTAGATCTAGCGATATTACTGATCTTGCTGGTCTGAAAGATACCTTGAGCCAAATGTATCTAGAATAGTTTGAGTAAGTTGTCTGTGGATCTTTCGGTCGTAACAAAGTTTGAGTAAGTTGTCTGTGGATCTTTCGGTCGTAACAAAGTTTGAGTTAGATGTATGTGGATCTTCCGGTCTTAGAATGGTTTGATTTAGATTTCTATGGATCTTTCGGTCGTAGAATGGTTTGAGTTAGATATCTGTGGATCTTCCGGTCGTAGAATGGTTTGATTTAGAGGTCTGTGGATCTTTGGGTGGTAGAATGGTTTGATTTAGATATATGTGGATCTTTCGGTGGTAGAATGGTTTGAGTTAGATGTATGTGGATCTTTCGGTCGTAGAATGGTTTGATTTAGAGGTCTGTGGATCTTTCGGTGGTAGAATGGTTTGAGTTAGATGTCTGTGGATCTTTCGGTGGTAGAATGGTTTGAGTTAGATGTCTGTGGATCTTTCGGTGGTAGAATGGTTTGAGTTAGATGTCTGTGGATCTTTCGGTGGTAGAATGGTTTGATTTAGAGGTCTGTGGATCTTTCGGTGGTAGAATGGTTTGAGTTAGATATCTGTGGATCTTCCGGTCGTAGAATGGTTTGATTTAGAGGTTTGTGTATCTTTCAGTGGTAGAATGGTTTGAGTTAGATGTCTGTGGATCTTCCGGTCGTAGAATCGTTTGATTTAGAGGTCTGTGGATCTTTGGGTGGTAGAATGGTTTGATTTAGATATATGTGGATCTTTCGGTGGTAGAATGGTTTGAGTTAGATGTCTGTGGATCTTTCGGTCGTAGAATGGTTTGATTTAGAGGTCTGTGGATCTTTCGGTGGTAGAATGGTTTGAGTTAGATATCTGTGGATCTTCCGGCCGTGGAATGGTTTGATTTAGATATCTGTGGATCTTTCGGTGGTAGAATGGTTTGAGTTAGATATCTGTGGATCTTCCGGTCGTAGAATGGTTGGAGAGACGCTAAAATGGTTCGCGGGTAACGTCTGAATGGAAAGCTATGTGGCAAGTCCCGTGGTTGTTGCCAAAACCCCCGGGGGTCGCATTGTTGTATGTGAAAATGGCAGAATTTCCCTAACACCATCGGCACGTGGACTTTACCGCCGAAACGAGGCGTCGCCTCACCAGAACGGAACTGTTGTGTTCCTGAATTGTCTCTCCCTCCTGACCCCTGACCTCCGCGGTAAACGGGGCGTCGGGACGCTCGTGACATTTGAATGTACAGCAGAAGGCAGGTTGTGTGCATTCTGGGGGGAGAACTACTCGCCCTTATTCCTTACTGCAGGCCGCAGATATACTGAGAGATGCCGTCTATTGACGGGTAAATAAAGAAGGCTTAGAAGTTCTGTTTTTACACGTGCGAGCTGTAGTAAGCTCTACATGTAAAGTCACATCTACTCGTACAGTCACATCTACTCGCACGTCACATCTACTCGTACAGTCACATCTATTCCTACAGTCACATCTACTCGTACAGTCACATCTGCTCGTACAGTCACATCTACTCCTACAGTCACATCTACTCGCACAGTCACATCTACTCGCACAGTCACATCTACTCGTACAGTCACATCTACTCGCAGTCACATCTACTCGTACAGTCACATCTACTTGTTCACTAACATCTACTCGTACAGTCACATCTACTTGTTCAGTCACATCTACTTGTACAAGCCCCTCCCCTGATAGGCCTATAGCCATATCTGCATGTACTGTCTTGTTTACAATGTCTAATTAGCATTATTTAAAAATAAGTGTCCGATTTGTAGATTTAACATTGCTTTTTATGACTCGGCACTACGTGACAGTAAATGACAGTACTTGGCAGTACTTGGCAGTACTTGGCAGTACTTGGCAGTACTTCACCTGCTCTAAGGACAGAGAGCAATAATTCAAGCTTTAGCGCTAGTTATTAAAAACAAGTCCAGAAAATGAACAGTTTTCCTGCCAGTATCCAAGTCTAAGGGGCAGGTATGTTGAACGCGGTGTAATTTAAACGGACTGACATTCATGCACCGGATAGAACATACTCATACGAGATTTGATATGATTATGTTTTGTATTTAAGTAGACACATTTTTTTTATGGGACACCTTGATCATTGATTATCAACTGTCTCATCATCATTTAAAAAACAATGTATTACTCTAATTATTATAAAAAATAAAAAAAAAAAAAAAAAAAAAAAAAATTAAGAAAACATTATGCTAAAAAAAAAAGCTGGTTCCCCTTATACTATTCTCACGGGCTCCAGCATACGTCCCACACATGCGCAGTAGCTATCACTGTATGTTTGCACTGCCAGCACGAGGCGGGAGTTCTTGAGACTGCTGGCAGCAAGCGCTCCCCCCCCCCCGGCTCTAGTGTAAACAAAAGTAGACAATGGACGCTGTGATAGTAGGTGAAGCCAGACGTGGGTGAGACACGGCTTTCATTCCACGCGCACCCTTTGACGACGACGACGTGCGTCCACATGTGGAGAAATGGAAAATGGACGCCATGCTCTAATTATAGATGGTGGGATTAAAAATAGCATTTCTATATTTGTGTGCGACCACTGATTGGGATATAAGGCACATCGCTGCAATCATAAACACAATTAGGATTTCTAATGTAGCGAAACACTACGATTGTTCGCGTACATATTCTTCAGCTGCATGTATGCGTAGCCGATGACGTCCTGGCTGACCGGATACAGGAACATGTGCTGACGTTGTTAAACCCGCCCAGAGAACATCGTGTGCACACTACAGACAGGGGAGGTTGGTATTTGGTGGTGTTTTCTTGTCATCTTGGAATGTTGAAGGTGGAATTTATTTGGGGGTGACCTCATGTGATCTGAAACATCAAAGGAGATATTTGGTGGGGTTCTTTTTTCCTTTGATCGGAAAGATTATGACGTAAGTAGGAATCAAATAATTCAATGAACACAATGGATCAAAATATGCCCCCACCCCCATAGGGTGACGGCACTGTAATGACATTTTTTGACAATTCATCTTGTAAAAATCCACTCCATTGTGAAGTTATTTGACAAATCAACTTGTAAAAAAAATATATTTCATTGCGAAGTTATTTGACAAATAAACTTGTAAAAAAATCTACTCCATTTTGAAGTTATTTGACAAATCAACTTGTAAAAAAATATATTTCATTGCGAAGTTATTTGACAAATCAACTTGTAAAAAAAATATATTTCATTGCGAAGTTATTTGACAAATCAACTTGTAAAAAAATCTACTCCATTTTGAGGTTATTTGACAAATCAACTTGTAAAAAAAATATATTTCATTGCGAAGTTATTTGACAAATCAACTTGTAAAAAAAATATATTTCATTGCGAAGTTATTTGACAAATCAACTTGTAAAAAAATCTACTCCATTTTGAAGTTATTTGACAAATCAACTTGTAAAAAAAATATATTTCATTGCGAAGTTATTTGACAAATCAACTTGTAAAAAAATCTACTCCATTTTGAAGTTATTTGACCATCAACTTGTAAAAATATCTACTCCATTGTTAAGTTATTTGACAAATCAACTTGTAAAAAAAATATATTCCATTGCCAAGGTCTTTGACAAATCAACTTGTAAAAAATATACCCCATTGTGAAGTTATTTGACAAATCAACTTGTAAAAAATCTATTCCATTGCGAAGGTCTTTGACCAATGACTTGTTAAAAAAATCTACTCCATTGTGAAATTACTTCACAAATCAACTGGTAAAAAAATATATTCCATTGTGAAGATCTTTGACAATTCAACTTGTGAAACTGGGTTCAAGTCTTCAGACCGGTTACCTTATTGGATTCATTTTTTTTTATTTTTTTTTTTTGTACAACGATCGGGCTCTTTCGGATCCATTCTTTGTAAAACTGACTTATGTTTCTGTACATCTGAAAGTTGTTCTTGTGCCTTTGATCTCTTTGATTTGTTTGCCAGTGAAACGCTTGGCTCGTCTTTTGAAAGTTCTTTTCCCGTTATGACTCAAAACACGATCAGCCGATAGTTTGTGGAGGTGAAACTGAAAATAAAAATGCTTCCTCGTACCAAGTCAATACTAGGCTATATTATATTGGTTGGGGGAAAAGTCATTACAATGTTATTTAAGTTGTTAATTAAACAACCACACCAAAAAAAAAAAAAAAACGTTTTTCGTATAAATCTTTTATAAAATGAAATGTTATCGAGCAATGTGGGGGTCGGGGATGAAAATTTGACACAAAACATGCCCAAGGTTCGCAACTTCAAGTGAAACGCTTGGCTCTTTTTTTGAAAGTTCTTTTCCCGTTATGACTCAAAACACGATCAGCCGATAGTTTGTGGAGGTGAAACTGAAAATAAAAATTCTTCCTCGTACCAAGTCAATACTAGGCTATATTATATTGGTTGGGGGAAAAGTCATTACAATGTTATTTAAGTTGTTAATTAAACAACCACACCAAAAAAAAAAAAAAACGTTTTTCGTATAAATCTTTTATAAAATGAAATGTTATCGAGCAATGTGGGGGTCGGGGATGAAAATTTGACACAAAACATGCCCAAGGTTCGCAACTTCACTTTCTTTTCACGCCCCTGAAATAATTTAATATTCTAATGACCGACCAACTTTTAAACAGCAGTTTTATTTCACAGACTGATTTCAGGAAAACAAAAGAAAATATCACGCAACAAACGCACTTGCGATATTTTAAAAGAATCCCATTTAGCGAAGTTATCGGGAATTTTATTTCGTGAAATCAGTGTCATCATATTTCTTTCATCTACCCATTGAAAAAAACAGGAAAACCTGATTTTGGTGGGTTGGGGCTGAAAATTTGGAAGGAAGTGTCATCGGCAACGAGTCTGTGTGCCTAGTTTCAGCTCAATAGGTTTACGGGAAGTGGGTTGGTTCCAAAAATCATGCTTGTTGTTCCTAAACTCGAGTCCAGTAAGTTGAGTGGAGGTAATTAACAGACCTACTCATATCGTCTTTTTTTACAAATAAAATGTATACTTTTATCCTGAAAAAATTATTTCCTTTAAATTAACCGTAACGTCATCCAATCCATCTTTACTTGGCCAAACCATGACAACCCACCAATGATATGAAAGCGGATATTACATGGATCCACCCACATTTTGTCTACAATTTTTTTTTTCCTTTGTGGTCGTACCCCATAGCATTCTAGCTTCATAATACCTTCACGGATAACTCTAATCTAACGTCTCTATAAAAAGATAACTTAACTTCCCTCACAGAATAACTTTAACTACAACGTCCCTTAAAAGGTAATTTAACTGCAACTTCTCTATAACAGAATATAAGTCAACTATAACTTTTCAATTATATGATAAATCATGTTATAGCATCTCTTTTAATTAGGAGAAAGCGATTATAATTTCTCTCAATCCCGGCCGCGGCATTACTTCTCTCAATTTTTACCATAGCCGGAAACTTTTTTAAAAATTTAAATTCCTGGCAGACGAGCAGTGATGGTGACCTAATTAATGGTGCGCGTGTTTCCCGTCAAGGCGAAATCAAACGAACCTTTGTGGAGCAGGAAACCGTTCAAGTTTTTGTGGTGAAAATAGATTAGTAAAATTTTCAACGTTTGGCTTAGCTCTGGCTTGTTTTTACTTTTTTGCAATTGATTTCTTGTCTGTTCAGTGCCGTCTTAAAACATGGGCACGAGACGAATATTTGTTTATTAATATGTGTCGTGTGTGTGTGTGTTTGTGTGTGTGTTCCTTTTTCAACATTGCCCATTCTTCAACATTGTACCTGTGCACGTGATCACTGTACTGTAAGTCAAAAGCTTAAGTTTTTTAATTTCTTTTTTTTAAAATTTTGTAATTTTAAATTAACTAAACAAAATTATTAATTCTCATTAGCCCTAGTTTGGGTATCGTTTTCTTTATTATTATATTTAATTGCTGGTATTATCTTTTGTTGTGTATTGTTTGTCAACGAGCCATGTCGACCAAGAATAGATTAAATTCTGTATTCTGATAACAGGACGTAACAAAAAAAAGTGCTTTATTGAAATTGTCTTAAGGAAACACTGGTCGGAACGTATTGGCCAACCTGGGCCTCAAATGCTTTTCCTGTAGTCTTATTTGGTGCCTTGGGTTTTAGATATGTTCCTAATTTTATTTGGTGCCTTGGGTTTTAGATATGTTCCTAATGTTATTTGGTGCCTTGGGTTTTAGATATGTTCCTAATGTTATTTGGTGCCTTGGGTTTTAGATATGTTCCTAATGTTATTTGGTGCCTTGGGTTTTAGACATGTTCCTAATGTTATTTGGACGGAACCCAAAATCTATACAAGGATTACAATAAACCACGGAACCGTTTTAGATATGTTCCTAATGTTATTTGGTGCCTTGGGTTTTAGATATGTTCCTAATGTTATTTGGTGCCTTGGGTTTTAGATATGTTCCTAATGTTACTTGGTGCCTTGGGTTTTAGATATGTTCCTAATGTTATTTGGTGCCTTGGGTTTTAGATATGTTCCTAATGTTATTTGGTGCCTTGTGTTTTAGATATGTTCCTAATGTTATTTGGTGCCTTGGGTTTTAGATATGTTCCTAATGTTATTTGGTGCCTTGGGTTTTAGACATGTTCCTAATGTTACTTGGTGCCTTGGGTTTTAGATATGTTCCTAATGTTGTTTGGTGCCTTGGGTTTTAGATGTGTTCCTAATGTTATTTGGTGTCTTGGGTTTTAGACATGTTCCTAATGTTATTTGGTGCCTTGGGTTTTAGATATGTTCCTAATGTTATTTGGTGCCTTGGGTTTTAGATATGTTCCTAATGTTATTTGGTGCCTTGGTATTTAGACATGTTCCTAATGTTATTTGGTGCCTTGTGTTTTAGATATGTTCCTAATGTTATTTGGTGCCTTGGGTTTTAGATATGTTCCTAATGTTATTTAGTGCCTTGGGTTTAAGATATGTTCCTAATGTTACTTGGTGCCTTGGGTTTTAGATATTTTCCGTATTTTATTTGGTGCCTTGGGTTTTAGATATGTTCCTAATGTTATTTGGTGCCTTGGGTTTTAGACATGTTCCTAATGTTATTTGGTGCCTTGGGTTTTAGATATGTTCCTAATGTTATTTGGTGCCTTGGGTTTTAGATATGTTCCTAATGTTATTTGGTGCCTTGGGTTTTAGATATGTTCCTAATGTTATTTGGTGCCTTGGGTTTTAGATATGTTCCTAATGTTATTTGGTGCCTTGGGTTTTAGATATGTTCCTAATGTTATTTGGTGCCTTGGGTTTTAGATATGTTCCTAATGTTATTTGGTGCCTTGGGTTTTAGATATGTTCCTAATGTTATTTGGTGCCTTGGGTTTTAGATATGTTCCTAATGTTATTTGGTGCCTTGGGTTTTAGATATGTTCCTAATGTTATTTGGTGCCTTGGGTTTTAGATATGTTCCTAATGTTATTTGGTGCCTTGGGTTTTAGATATGTTCCTAATGTTATTTGGTGCCTTGGGTTTTAGATATGTTCCTAATGTTATTTGGTGCCTTGGGTTTTAGATATGTTCCTAATGTTATTTGGTGCCTTGGGTTTTAGATATGTTCCTAATGTTATTTGGTGCCTTGGGTTTTAGATATGTTCCTAATGTTACTTGGTGCCTTGGGTTTTAGATATGTTCCTAATGTTACTTGGTGCCTTGGGTTTTAGATATGTTCCTAATGTTATTTGTTGCCTTGGGTTTTAGATATGTTCCTAATGTTATTTGGTGCCTTGGGTTTTAGATATGTTCCTAATGTTATTTGGTGCCTTGGGTTTTAGATATGTTCCTAATGTTATTTGGTGCCTTGGGTTTTAGATATGTTCCTAATGTTTTTTGGTGCCTTGGGTTTTAGATATGTTCCTAATGTTATTTGGTGCCTTGGGTTTTAGACATGTTCCTAATGTTACTTGGTGCCTTGGGTTTTAGATATGTTCCTAATGTTATTTGGTGCCTTGGGTTTTAGATGTGTTCCTAATGTTATTTGGTGCCTTGGGTTTTAGATATGTTCCTAATGTTATTTGGTGCCTTGGGTTTTTGATATGTTCCTAATGTTATTTGGTGCCTTGGGTTTTAGATATGTTCGTAATGTTACTTGGTGCCTTGGTATTTAGATATGTTCCTAATGTTCTTTGTTGCCTTGGGTTTTAGATATGTTCCTAATGTTATTTGGTGCCTTGGGTTTTAGATATGTTCCTAATGTTACTTGGTGCCTTGGGTTTTAGACATGTTCCTAATGTTATTTGGTGCCTTGGGTTTTAGATATGTTCCTAATGTTATTTGGTGCCTTGGGTTTTAGATATGTTCCTAATGTTATTTGGTGCCTTGGGTTTTAGATATGTTCCTAATGTTATTTGGTGCCTTGGGTTTTAGATATGTTCCTAATGTTATTTGGTGCCTTGGGTTTTAGATATGTTCCTAATGTTATTTGGTGCCTTGGGTTTTAGATATGTTCCTAATGTCATTTGGTGCCTTGGGTTTTAGATATGTTCCTAATGTTATTTGGTGCCTTGGGTTTTATATATGTTCCTAATGTTCTTTGTTGCCTTGGGTTTTAGATATGTTCCTAATGTTCTTTGGTTCCTTGGGTTTTAGATATGTTCCTAATGTTATTTGGTGCCTTGGGTTTTAGATATGTTCCTAATGTTATTTGGTGCCTTGGGTTTTAGATATGTTCCTAATGTTATTTGGTGCCTTGGGTTTTAGATATGTTCCTAATGTTATTTGTTGCCTTGGGTTTTAGATATGTTCCTAATGTTATTTGGTGCCTTGGGTTTTAGATATGTTCCTAATGTTCTTTGGTGCCTTGGGTTTTAGATATGTTCCTAACGTTATTTGGTGCCTTGTGTTTTAGATATGTTCCTAACGTTATTTGGTGCCTTGGGTTTTTTGATATGTTCCTAACGTTATTTGGTGCCTTGGGTTTTAGATATGTTCCTAACGTTATTTGGTGCCTTGGGTTTTAGGGTTGACTGCCCCGGGCCACTGAACGGCACCAAGAAAGATGAAATGATTGAGTTGTTTTTTTTTTTTTTTTAAATCTCATTCGGGCTTTTCCTGGAAGATCAGATCCTATCTTATGAACTCTAATGAAAGGGGAGCATGGGTCTAGATTTATAATACAAAATTCCCAGTTAATATGTTATTTTAGTATAAAATAAGCACACTTTTCTATAAATACCCCCACCCCCCGAAGGGTTGATGGAGGCAGTACCAGGAGGTATGGGATACCTATAACTTTTTGATGCAAAAAAATATGTATACAAAATTATAAGATAAGAGCTGATTACTATTTTTTCCCCCTGGGCAAACAGTTTATCTATAGTTGGCCCATTATGCTCTTCAAGCGGCTCTACATGATATTCTGCACATTTTTCTACATAGTGCTCCCCCACTGACCTTGGCGTTAGTTTATTAGGTTGACCGAGTTATTTCACACGTGTTGGTTTGCCACTGACACCGAGAGTTACCCTATCTCTTGACCTTTGAGGTGAACTCTGTGACGTAACTTGTTTACCTTTCAGATATTCTTCCCCAATATACTGGATAGTTCAAAATAATTCTGGAACGCAGATTGCATATGACTTTGGTATTCCAGATGTAACTTCAAAAAAAAAAAAAAGAGGAAAATTTAAAGTATGTAAATAAGACCGTCAACCTTACAAGAGACCTTCAGATTTCTAAAGACATCATTCGTAAAAAGGAGGGGGGGATGTTGTGGGGGGAAAGGGGTTTGCGGCCGCTCCAAATAGGTTGAGAACCCCTTTGTGCAAGGTAACAGTGTCTGCTTGACGCCAGTCAAAATAAATAAATGTGACCTTTAAAGATGGTTTTCATTTAACGCGCTGCACTTTGATGATATCAATCTAACAAAAAACAAATGCACCACCAAGTTCTTTACATGAACACTATGTAGAAAATTTCATTTCTACATTTCTTCTTATTTTTTTCCCCCCAGAGTGAAGTTACAACGCCTTATTCAGACCAAAGATTATTTGGACGGAGATAAACAACGTAAATATATCAACAGTGAACATCAACCTCGTGTTATCAACAATAAAAAATTGATCAAAGAGCAGTGTATCAACAGTAATAATGTAATCAACAGTCCCTCGACAAAGAACATTGAATCCATTATGAGATACGACAACACTTCACAAACAGCGTCAAGTATACAAATGCACGTTCAAAGCCTCCCTCGTTCTGATTCAAACAAACCCACGTGACCCGACAAACTGCGATACTCTCGAAGCGCTCTCCCACTCTCCTGATCACTGGAACCATGGTGGAGAGAGTATGGTAGTACAAGGCGTATCCACCGACCCGATCACCCTGCGCGGGCTTATCCTCTCCGTGGCAACTTTCCACGTTGTCTTCCTCAGCAACTCTCCAACCCACGCCGTCAGGGAAACCCGACCGCTACAGCATGGCCATCCGCATCTTCAGCCGCAGCACGGTCATCCAGAAAGTGAGCCACAGCAGGGTCATCCAGACCCCCCGCGCCAAAGGTACCACGTGTCGGACGCTCTTCCGCCCCCGGGTTCCGGCGAGGAGCAGGTTTTCACCAGCCGGCTCCTGAAGTGGCACGTGGCGTACTGCGGCAACCACAGCCTCTGCCAGGAGAGATCGACCCCCCAGTGCTACCTCTGCGCGCCGTGTCAGTGCGACTTCCACTGCCATGAATACGGGGACTGCTGCCCCGACGTTGCCATGGCGACGGGGGACGACGACTTCCCCCGGCCGTTCACCGGAAACGTCACGAACGTCATGTCGTGCGAGGACGCCGAGTTCCGGATTCCGGAATCCGGTCACCGGAAATCCCCGGTGACCAAAATAGCCGGCGATAGTTCTCTGATTGTTGTCGGGCGTCACGCTTCCTATCACTTCCATAGTTATTTGATGGTGTCTCGGTGTCCCCACGCGTTCACGCGGGACGCCGGCCTGTGCGAGAAACTGGGTGACGTGTGGCCTGTCATGTCTGCCGAGAACGGCTCCAACATTGTTTATAAAAACTACTACTGCGCGCGCTGCAACAGCGTGGCGGACATCATTCCATGGAGCATTAAGATCACGTGTGACAAAATGAAGACCCTGACCTCATTCCAAAACCCCCGGGAAGTGGCGAAGACGTCCTTCTCGGATCAAGACTGTGATATCCTGTTCGAGCCCCCGGCGTGGAAGGAGGCCCGCAAGTGCTACACGGACCGCGATGTGGTCACGGCGTGCAACGTCACCGGGCGGTGGGTGAAGCGGGACGCGTTCTACCAGCGGGCCTGCGACAGCTACGTCACCCCCAAGCAGGTCGAAGGGCGCCTGTACAAAAACGTCTTCTGCTACCTGTGCAACCACGACCACGACGCAAACACCACGGTGCACCTGCTGACGTCGTCGTGCCTACGCCAGCCGCTGGTCCGAAGTGAGGCGATGGTGGTGACGTTGCGCCAGTCGGACGTCATCACCGAGCCTTCCCACAGTCCTCTGTTCAACGAGGAGTCGTACAAGGAGTGTGGGGGCACGGGCGTGTATGACAAGAAAGAGGTGAGTACGTCTGGCGATGGTCAAACCATTTTACAATCAGCAGCAAAACACCACCAGACAATAAAGGTAACGCCATCTTTCAGAATAAGACAAGCAAGATGTCCCTAGATATAAGACAAGCAAGATGTCCCTAGACATAAGACAAGCAAGATGTCCCTAGATATAAGACAAGCAAGATGTACCTAGATATAAGACAAGCAAGATGTCCCTAGATATAAGACAAGCAAGATGTCCCTAGATATAAGACAAGCAAGATGTCCCTAGATATAAGACAAGCAAGATGTCCCTAGATATAAGACAAGCAAGATTCCCTAGATATAAGACAAGCCAGAGCTCCTTAGATATAAGACAGGCAAGATGTCCCTAGATATAAGACAAGCAGGATGTCCCTAGACATAAGACAAGCCAGATCTCCTTAGATATAAGACAGGCAAGATCCCCCTGGACATAAGACAAGCCAGATCTCCATAGATATAAGACAAAGAAGAGGGTTTGCTGGTGGTCCATTGGAAGCTGTTCCATAATTCGTTTGCTGGTGGTCCACTGGAAGCTGCTCCATAACAGAGTTTGCTGGTGGTCCACTGGAAGCTGTTCCATAACAGAATTTGCTGGTGGTCCATTGGAAGCTGTTCCATAACAGAGTTTGCTGGTGGTCCACTGGAAGCTGTTCCATAACAGTGTTTGCTGGTGGTCCACTGAAAGCTGCTCCATAACAGCGTTTGCTGGTGGTCCACTTCAAAGATGTCCAAAACAGGGTTTGCTGAGGATCTAGTTTTGGCAAGAAAATGGCGCCAGTTACACATTAGGGTGACATCATGTCCTGAGCACTGACAAAACACCTGTCAGAACACAAACCTGCATGCACAGGTTTGGGCTGTTCCCAAACACACCAGAGCTACGGAACCCGGTGTGCAGTGAGACGATGCTAGGTGCATGTGCCACGGAAGAATTCCTCCAAGACGATGACCAAACCGTGAAGGCGCTGTAAATGGGTTTAAATAAAAAGGTTTGGGGGGGGGGGGGGGGGGGCAAAGATTTGCTCATTGTCAAGCTGTCAAATGTTGGGAGTAAAATAGCACGGCACATAGGCGTGTTGACATTGGGTGCGTCACGTGACACGGCACCGTCACAATTAGTCTTAAGCGACGACTAAATATGTCACTTTGTCCATTTGACCAAACGCTTTTTCTCGCCTGTTGTACCGTGTATGACATCGACCAGGTGTTGATTGCTCCAAAACTCAACGGAATTCAACGGAATGGTTGTGTGAGTATTGGCATAGACGGTGCTGTGATAACAAGGCGCAGTCAAATGAAACAGCCCCTAAAAACAATAAATATTTTTGTATAAATCATTGGAATGCTTTTTTTTTCATTTACGTAAGAGTACGTGATTTATCATCATTAAGAAACTTTGATCTAAATGGGTAAACTGCTGGCGAAATCATCTTTCATATTTTCTTCGTTTTCCCCTTTCGAAAAAAACTTTTTTTTTTAATGCATACCAAAATTCGTCACAAATACAATGAACATAGCAACAGCTACACAATTAATCTCCACACCAAAATACGCAACCATTGAACAATTGATTAATCTTCCCCCTTTTTTGAAAAACAGGAGGAAAAAAAAAAAGATTTTGGGGGGGTTGGGCTTGGGGTGGCTCAAAATGTGATATACTGTGTAAACATCAACAACGAGTCTATGTGCCAAGGTTCAGCTCGATAAGATGACGGGAAGTGGGTCGATTGGCCTTCCGAAGATTTTTCCACACAGAAAAGTAAAAAAACAAAAGTGAAGTTAATATAAAGGATTTAAAGAGGATTTTTTTCCATGTACAAAAAGAGAAAAATCAAACCGTAAAACAAGTACACATTGCCTCATTCGAGGCTGGAAATAGGATTGGGATATAAACATGAGCCAACTGGGCGATTGCCCAAGGCCTCACTCTTCTAGGACTCCTTGCGACTCTAGGGGCATGAATTTGCCCATATTTTTAATACATTTGAAAGATATTTAGGCAATTTCATTTGCTTCCAGAGAGCTTTGGAAAGAAGAGTTCCAAATTTAGATTATTCAATGAATTCCATATTTTGGTACTACTTTTAAAGGCGAAAGTCCACTGACTTATTGATACATTTTTAAAAAAAAACTATTATTATTATTTATTTTGTAATTAATTTTATTTTTTCTTGGGTTGGGGGGGGGGAGCAGTGGGGAATATGTTTATGTTAGCCAAATAGATTTATAATAGGCGTCATATGTTAATTATTTATTAATTTATCTGAAGAACGTCTTAGTAGTTTAAAATGTTCAAATCAACCTTTCACATAATAGTTTTTGGAGAGTGCTCAAACTCAAGTAAATTTATGATATCAACTATTTTAAATTAAATCAACCTGGCCAAATCTACAAATTTCTCGATTTAATTTTTAAGAATCAAAGAAGTAAAACATTTGAAAGTTCTGAAAGTGATGAAAACCGCTTGATGAGATTGTGTTTGACCATTTCCGTCCATAAGTTTCGTTCCCCCCCTCCCCCCCCCAATCCATTATTGTTTTCCATTGTTCAAGACATCCATATTTTTTTTCCACTTTCACCCCAGGACATGTGCAGGGAGGTGACATGCGCAGTTGGCCAGCATCTTGTTTCCGGTACATGCCAACCAATTTTCCTAAGGGCCAAAGGACTCAGCTATGAGTTGTATTTTGGACTTCGGCCGAACAAGCCTGTAGATCTATCAGGTAATTGGACCACGGTCCCCGGTGGTTTGGGGGGGGGGAGGGGCGGGTTGGGCTGGGCGATACATTCTAGTGTGTTCGTATAAATATTTATTAGTTATACTATGACCAAATAAAGCATCTTGACTTTAGTGCTACTAGAATATCGCTTCTGTTTTCAACACCTTCTGGTGATTGTATTAAATTATTCAATTCGACTGCTATAATCACACAACCGCTTACGTCTCTATCTACACACTATCTAAAACAGAAACGTGCCAACACACATTCAACACACTTGCCAACACACGATCTAAAAAAAAAAAAAAACTTGGCAACGCGCGATCTACACACCAACCAGCACACGCTATATACATACACACATACCCGCTAATTATTTTTACACGTCTACCCAACACACCAACTACAAACAGATCCGCTGTGTCGTTAGCACATCTCACCCCCCCCCCCCAGTGACCTATGAGGCAGGTGAGCACGATAGACACCACCTCGCCGACTCACCCACCTGTCTTTAATAACTTCTTTCATTACAGGCGAAGACGAGTTACGCTACCACCTTCCAGCAGAGATGGAGGTGTACCTGGGCAAAGTCTTGCTTCAGGGCAACTATAAATTTCAGGTATTTAATACACGACATACTTACACGCCATGCTGGACTAATTCCAACAGGCAAGTTGGAGATATTGGCCGAAACCGAACAGTGAGGTTGAGATAATAGTCTCATTTCAACTGTCGTGTTAAGAGGGCGGTCGAATTCCAAATGACATGTTGAGATATTGGTCTACAGATGATATGTTGAGTTCAATTTCAAATGACATGTTGAGATATTGGTCCACAAATGATATGTTAAGAGTCAAATTTCAAATGACATGTTGAGATATTTGTCCACAAATGATATGTTAAGAATCTAATTCCAAATGACATGTTGAGATATTGGTCCACAAATGATATGTTAAGTGTTTTAATCCAAATGGAAAAAAATGATATGATAGTGATCTATTTCCCAAATGACATGTTCAGATAGTGGCCTACTTTGAAATGACATGCTCAGACACTGGCCTAATTCCAACAGCTGTGTTGTTTTCAGTACTTTGCTATGGCCTTCAACACGACCGACAGAGAGGGCAGGTGTAGCCAGGTCTCCAAAGAGATCGGGCTGTACGTCGTGCTGGTGAGCCGTCAGATGGTTGACCAAAGGAAGCTACAGGAAACACTCCTGCGCATTCGGAATGTCAACTTCACTATCGACCGACGGACGTGGAGGCTGACCTTTCAGGTGATGGATACCAGCCAAGTTTTGCCAAAGCCCTTTCACATAATACCACCACCCCATCTGATCTCAACAACCTCCATCTGATCTGAACAACCCCCATCTGATCTGAACAACCCCCATCTGATGACTTGTTGGGGGTAGACTAGACTTGTTGGGGGTAGACTAGACTTCAACCCCCATCTGATCTGAACAACCCCCATCTGATCTGAACAACCTCCATCTGATCTGAACAACCCCCATCTGATCTCAACAACCCCCATCTGATCTGAACAACCCCCATCTGATCTCAACAACCCCCATCTGATCTGAACTACACCTCACTCCCATCGAACCTACCCATCTTGTCGCCCTCCAACATCACTTTCCAGAATATCCCCCCCCCCCACACACACATACACTTCCTTTTTTTCAACCCAATCTTCACACCCACAGCGGGTACTATTTCTCACCTTTCAGTGACTCTTAAATTTCTTTCTGTCACCCAGGGCTATCCAAGTGAGTCTCCCTGGCATATTATGCATCCCTCCAGGCGCCTGGTGCCCCCAGCATTATCAACTTGCGTCATCATTGTCTCCAACGATCTTCTGCAACAGAGAAGAGGTTAGTATTATAGTAGAGGATAAAGGTTTATTTCAAAATATTTTATTTTGTTGAATGGAGCAATTAATTTTATCATCATCAGATTCATTGATTTTTTTTTTTAAAGATTATCAATATATATTTTTAAAAATAGCATTAGAAAGAAGTCTTCCCGGAATTAATTATTTATGACAACCATATTCCATATTTTCTTTAGAAGTATTAGCAGACATAATCTTATGAAATAATCCCGCTAGAAGTAGTTGCAAAAATGAATCTCATGAAAGATCAGCACATGTTTAACAAAGGTGTGTGTAATTATTCTTAAATAAAGTTGTTAAAAAAGCACTATAAAAAAAACATGTCTATAGTTACATTCATGTTAATGTATATTCAAACACTGACGTTTTTCATTTCCCAGAAGGCATCATACGAGTAGGGACGACGACTCCTGACCCAAACCTGCCGCAAGACCCGGCGCCCGTTCATATCCGCATCTCCAATCTCCTCACCTGCCCGCAAGTCCGTCTTTTCCCACACGAGTACTCCGTCGCCGGACCCGACGGCGTCCTGGCCTTTCACCTGGGTGCCATGAACTCTGACCTTCACCTGAACCGATACCTCGTGGATCTTGACGGCAACGTGACCGTGTGTCTGGACGATTTCCTGGTGAAGCTGACCAGGGACACCGGCCAGCGGACGACCGTGGAGAACATCCTCGTGGCGGTGATCCTCCCCGTCTCCCTGCTGTGCCTCCTGGCCTGCTTCACCGTGTTCCTGGCTTTCTCCGAGCTCCGGGCGCTGTCCGGCAGGAACAACATGCTCTTCACGGCGTGCCTCTTCTGTTCCCAGGGCGCGCTGCTGCTGGGCTACGTCGTGGATGACACCAGCCGTTGGTGCGTCGCCTTCGGGGTGCTCTCCCATTACTTCTGCTTGTGTTTCTTCTGCGCCCTGGTCATCTGCTCTTACCACATGTACGCAAAGTTCACCACCATGCACCTGTCGGCCAACGAGACGAAAGAGGGGAGGCGACTCCTTGTATACTGCTGCATAACGTTCTCCGTTCCCCTCGCGGTTATCCTTCTTGTCATCATCGTCCACGTCACCACGCATCTGCCCGAGGTCGTTGTCGGCTATGGGGGCGGGGCTATTTGCATCATGTCGAAGGTCACGGCCGTGTGGGTGTCCTTGTTCCTGCCGTTGGGGATCTCTCTCACCATCACGACCATTCTCTATATTATCACGTGCCTAAGCCTGCGTCACAACAAGGACGTCGAAACCAATGCCACGGAAGAGCGGCACGTCAAGTTCTACTTCCGGAGCTCCCTGCTGACGTCAATTACCTGGACGATCGGTATTGTCGCCATAGTGACGTCATGCGCGTACACGAGGATCGCCTTCATCGTGATGCAGAGTCTTCTGGGATTGTACGTGTTCGTTACACTCGTCCTGACGGAGAGAGTCACCCGACTTTTGACCGGATGTTGCTGTGGAAGCCGACGACCTCCTCGGGGAAGGACGTCCTTGAACTTAAAGATGGCTTCGCGCTCTGAATGTCCCGCGAGAAACCCGTGTATAGTTGCTACGGGCTTTCGCAAAAGGGATACCAATGTTCCGGTACAGCAGTATGATGGTGCCAATGAGTCTATACCGGCACAGCTATATGAGGATACAACGGATTCTTCTCCGGTACAGTTATATAGTGTTACGAACGAGTCTGCCATTAGAATGATCTCTGAAAGTAATGACATTGTGGAAACTGGTACATAATAACTATTTTCTGGAAATAAACTAAAGATAGTTTGTGTGGCATAGACGGCACTTGGTTAGTCTGAGAGAGTCTGTGTGTGACAGATGTCATTAGCCTGACAACGTCTGTGTGTGAGTGATGACTTTAAATCTGAGAGGGTATGTGTGTGACAGATGTCGTTAGCCCGACAAGGTATGTGTGTGCGAGATGTCGTTGAGTCTGAGAGGGTCCATGTATGACAGACGCCATTAGTCTGACAACGTCTGGGTGTGAGTGATGACTTTAAGTGTGAGAGGGTCAGTGTGTGACGGACGTCATTGATCTGAAAAGGGCTGTGTGGGAGAGGTGTCTTTTGAGTCTAAGAGGATCTGTGTGTGACAGATGCCCTTAGTCTGATAAGGCCTGTGGGTGAGAGATGTCTGAGAGGGTGTGTGCGTGACAGATGTCATTAGTTAGAGTGAGGGGGTCTGTGTGTGTGTGACAGATGTCATTGGTCTTACAGGAGTCTGTGTGTGAATGTCACTTTTGACCCTGAGATTATGTCAAACACATTTGTGTGTGTGTGAATGGTTCTATAGAATCGAAAGGTAAATATGTCCTTTAGAAAAGAGCTGTTTTAATGATAGTACATTATGAAATTATATCTATGATATTTACATTATTGATACAATTTCTATAAAATGCTTATTTGGGGATAGGTCACTGTAAAACTTTGTTCATGATGTCTTTATAAATTCGTATTCATGGCTCACAGGTCGCGGCGGTGATGCCTTCGTTTTTTGGATCATCGCTAAGTAGGAGAACACCGAACAGAAAGTACAATAACGAAAGTGATAATATATTACATAAGGGTGAAGTAATGTGGTGGTGATATGATATCAGTGTGAAGTAAAGGGGTAATATTATATCAGATACAAATACATAGGGAGCTGTAATAGGGTTCTGTAATAGGGCGCTATAATAGGGCGTAGATACGGACACTTAATATGACAATGTAATAAGACAGTTTTACTTAGGGAAATGTAATATGGCATTGTAATGTGTTAATTAATTTTTTCATTGTATTTGGGAAATGTAATATAATTTTTCGAAATGTGCAATTTTATTGTAATAACGCAATGTAATGTGGCGATTTCATATTGCAAAGTAATAGGGCGATTTAATATGGCAAAGTAATAAGGCAACATCATATGGCATTTTAATTGAGTAATGTAGTAGGGCATTGTAATATGGCGATTTAAAAGGGCAATGTAATGTGGTATTTTAATAGTGCAATGGAGTATTGCATTTTAATAGGGCAATGTAATATGGCATTGTAAACGTAGGACAAAGTAATATGACATTGTAATAATGCGCCTTCATTTTCCGTTTTTTTTAGTATCTACATCTCTACAACACACTCTACATCTCTACAACACACTCTACATCTCTACAGCACAATCTACATCTCTACAGCACAATCTACATCTCTACAACACAATCTACATCTCTACAACACAATCTACATCTCTACAACACAATCTACATCCCTACAACACAATCTACATATCTACAACACAAACACAATCTACATCTCTACAACACAATCTACATCTCTACAACACAATCTACATCTCTACAACACTATCTACATCTCTATAACACAATCTACATCTCTACAACACACTCTACATCTCTACAACACAATCTACATCTCTACAACACAATCTACATATCTACAACACAAACACAATCTACATCTCTACAACACAATCTACATCTCTACAACACAATCTACATATCTACAACACAAACACAATCTACATCTCTACAACACAATCTACATTTCTACAACACAATCTACATTTCTACAGCACAATCTGCATCTCTAGATTACATTCTATATCTCTGTAATAAATTCAATCTATCCAAAGTTAATGTTGTGTCTCACAAATGATATAACTTTCTATAGTCATGATTAAAATAGTTCATACACATTAAGGTCTGTCCATAATCATATCAGCTGGCCTATCTATAACCATATGGTCAATCCATAGTCTCTACGTTATAGGGATGTTAAATCAATAAATTGTTTCATATATTTTTTTTTTAAAAATCATTGAACTGCTTTAGCCTAATTAAGCATTTACCCCCTATACTGCTCCTGCAATGAGTTGGATCAAGTAAAGTATTAGCAACAAAGCTACTGTCTCAACATAAAAACCGATTGTTAACAATGGTTCTAAAAATAATATTAGAAGGAAGCCCACTTAGGTTTAAAGCATACCAAAAAGATTCTTACTTCTAGAACAAAGTCGTGATCATTCTAAAATAGGACAGAGTGTCGCTGCCGATATTGCTAAAAGTGAACACACTATCGATATTGCTAGAGGGGAACAAAGTATCGATATTGCTAAGAGTGTAAAGTATCGATATGGCTAGAAGTGAACAAAATATCGATATGTGAAAATTCTTCTAAATAAAAGACATTCTTTTAAAGGGATAAAGAATGTCTTTTTTTACATACATCATCTTTAATGTAAACATTAACACAATTATATGTAATGTAAACGTTTGATTTAAAACTATTTGACATGCTGTCAGTTGTATAGTTGATAGGTTTACATTTGGTATTTTCTTAGAATACATTTGGTTTTTACTATGATACATTTTTTTTGTATTTACTGTGTATACATTTTGGTATTTATTTCTGAAGGACTCTTAAACTTGTCTGTGTCTACAAATATAAAACAATTGTTGGGTTAGAGCAAATAAACCTCTTAATTGAATGACGTCATTTTGTTCAATGACTTTAGTAGAATTATACTCAAGTGTACACAATGTCTTTGCTTGCCTGCCTTTTATATTATTGACTGGACACATTTCATTGCTAGCTTACTGTTATTTCATGAACTGTATACATTTCATTTCAATGTTTCATACACTGTATACATTTCATTGCGAGCTTTCTCTTATTTCATGCACTGTACACATTTCATTGCTAGCTTTCTCTTATTTCATGCATTGTACACATTTCATTGCTAGTTCACTCTTATTTCACAGGCTGTATAAATTTCATTAATAATTTACCCTTATTTCATTTCGTTAGTGTCACCTGGTGCGATAAACTCACGCTGTGCCCCCTTCCCCTCTCCCCTCTCCCCCCTGCCCAGAATTGCACCGAGTAACTCCGAGATCATATGGAATCACTTGTAGTAGAGCTCGTAAATTAAATCAAATCCTAAAGAAAACAAGAAAAGACACAAGAAGAAAACACAGAACTTGAGTTAACTGCGATTAAAAGAGCAGCGAAATTACTTTTTTTTTTTTAATTGAAGCATTCATCCTTGATGTTAGTTAAAACTTTCCCTTCCTGACCCTCAAAGAAGCAAACATGTCAATCACTTCATCAAAACACATTTTTTAAAAATCTTCACATTATCCCTGTCATTATTACACTAAATTTCAAGGCCAGTAAGCCAGGATTTCCCCGTGCTAGATGGTAAATATTTCTGTAGTAGAATAAATGACCCGATATTATCGGGATAATAATGGTAGGTCCTTTGCGATAATTTCTAACAGCTATTGCAAAAATTCATCCCAATTCATTGCTTTTAAAATGTAATGATATTTACGTTTCTAACATCATTAAGTTTTGAGAAGTGTCTATCTGCTATATATGATGCGCGAAAGCCTACTCCCTTTCACGCTCCTAAACTACTTTTCCCCCTCTAAACATGACCTTAAATTACCCAGTCTAAATTATCAATAATTATATCACTAATTATATCACTAATTATATCACTAATTATATCACTTTTGTCACTGAAGAAGTTAATTGAGAGACGATTTCTAGGATAGAGAAATAATTTAGATTTACCCTTTTCGTGCCCTTGATTTACAAATTTTTTTCTTTGAAAAAATTGGACAAAAACATAATAATGTGATATAAATATATTTAATATATTGATATCTTCATCAAAAATATAAAGACAATTTTGCCTTGTTTTTTTAAAATTATACAGTATCAGAAAATCGTAAAACAAAAAACTCTTTTATCTAACGAAGATTCTCCCAACCGTTTTTCACGCATTTAACAGACTTGATAAATTTTAAATTTTTGATCTCATAACAATACACACCTCTTTACTTTTTGCAAAGTAAAAACAAAAACATATATGTTAATTTTTGGAAAGAAAATATTAACCCATCTCTATTTTTCAAAATTAATTTTTCATGTGTGAAAAATGATTGGGTCTTGATATTCATGGGTGCACTTATATAAATGTACCCAAGATTTGTTAACGCCATTGATTTTCTTAATTGGTAAAGATGTGTTTATTTGTAAAAAGAGAATGAAATATCTCCTTTTTCACAAATGTAATATCATAGGATTTAAATATATTGTCATCCACGTAAAAATGTACACATCCTATTTCCTATCTCCGAAGGTTAATTATTAATCAAATCCATTCCTTTATTTTGAGACGTATCTTGTATAGCCTTAGGCAAAATGAACATTTCCATATTTTTTAAAAATAGAATGTAACATCTCTTTTTTCACAGATTTAATACCATAGGAGTTAACTCTGTTGTCATCCACGTAAGAATGTTTACATCTTATTTCCTACCCCCGACATGTATTTACCCAAAAAAAAATTATTATTTATCAAATTCATTCCTTTATTTCGAGACGTATCTTGTGCTGCCTTAAGCAAAATGAACATACACATATTTGTACAATGAAAATGCAACATCTCTTTTTTCCCAAATGTAATACCATAGGATTTAAATATATTGTCATCTACGTGAAAATGTACACATCCTATTTCCTACCACCGACATGTATGTACCCAAGAAGGTTTATTATTTATCAAAATCATTCCTTTATTTTGAGATGTATCTTGTGCTGCCTGGGGCAAAGTGACCAACCCCCCCCCCCCCCCCCCCCCCCCCCCCCCCAAAAAAAAAAAAAAAAAAAAAAAAAGAATAGAAAATCTTCCACCGTGTTATAGTCCCTTCCATTACAAAACGAACATATTTTGCACTTCATAACGTTCGTTCTTTTTTGTATGAGTTATAAGTGGATAAGTGGAAGCTATTTGGCTATGGAGTTGGGCTGCACTGATTGACTTAAACCGCATTTTCGTATTTGAATTATATTTAAAGGTTAGTTTGTATTACGTTATAAATTTAATAAATGTATATTTTCGGATTTTAAAAAAAAAGGCAAAACTTTTTAAATGTAAAAATATACAAAGCAAAAATGTGGGTGTTTTATTAACAATTTAAAAAGCAATCAATTGTATTTATTCATTTTACTTTTAAGAAGGGAAAATACATCATCAGTTTTGTCACGCGTGGTTATTAAATTTAAAGAAAGCTAAGAGTTTTGGCAAAAAGGGCTATTCGCGCTATGACGTCATTTGCGTGATGTCGTCATTTGCGTGATTATTTAGAAAAAAAATATTTTAATTTTATTTCGCAATATTAACAATGCACTAAAAGATGGATTAAAAACGCCTGGTGCTTGGGTTTTCCCGATAAATGTGATTACGGTGTAATTCTTTGAACATGATTTTTGTTTTCATAACTTTCAAACACATATAATATGCTTAAAATAGTTCCTTAGTTGATACTTTAAATGTATTTGTTATTTATAATAATAATACTTTAACTTTGACTAAAAATAAAAGTGGATTTAAAATATTTTTTGCGCATTTAAATTTATTCGATTCCCGTAAAATAATAGAAAATAACAATGATTGTTTTTAGGAATCCGAACGTACTTAAATCGTATAGTCTCTTTGGCGTTATGTCACTGTAGCTCATTCTTATGTATAAAATATATATATAATTTTCAGTTTTGAAAAGCTTCTCTCGCTTGAAGCCACAGGCACAGATAGTGAGATAAATGTTTAGGCTTAATGAGAGGATTTGGTTGAAATTCTACGAAGTCACATTGAGATGTCAATTTTAAAAACTTTGAATAGTGATAGTGAGATCAATGTGTAGGCTTAATGAGAGGTTTTGGTTACAGTTCTAGGAAGTCTAGATGTGAATTTTAAAAACTTCTTTGGCTCCGTCGAAATTAATGTCTGTTGCTTTCGGGTGTTTTTTCAGCCTTGAGATTTTAAATTAAAGGTTTCACTTTCAGATAACTATAATATTCCTAGAAAGTGGTCAGTTTGGGAATGGCCACCAATAGCTCTTCTTCGGTCGCCAATAGCAGACTTTTAAATAGAAGAGCCGCTGACATTCTTTGTGCTACTTCCTTCATGTCTCTTTGTCTGATCTGACTGGAGTGAAAACTGTCAATACGACAACTAGCTCTCTTCAAGCAAGTGAGACCCTAAAAAAACGGCAGAAAACCTCATAAACACGTGGGA